AAAGCACACCAACACCATTGGATTGGTCATCGCAATCCTAAACGACAAATACGCTACGCATAAAATAAGGCCATTGATATATATCGTATATATCAATGCTATAAATCAAATGATATAAATGCTATATATCTTAAACATGTTCAATATTTTGGACTACGTCCACCGTGGACGACGCTAAACAAACATGAGCGATATGCGTGCTATCAATTACTCTGTAAGAGATATTTGTCCCTAAATGGACACCATGCATATTTCATTACGCTTTAGAATATTAAACTGTAATATGTTTATTTATGTCAGTGTGCATTATTTCATATATTTAGTTTATGCATCAATATATTTATGTAAATTATTGTTATTTCATGTAAGTTTAATATTTATTGATTTCATTATTTCATTACTTTTTATTTATAGCCGACAACCTAGCACCTAGCTAAATTAATTCCGTCCTTCCCTCGTCCTTGGCCAGAATACATGGATTATGATTTCCTTTGAAATGAGCGGATGCCGTTTCTATATTATATTCTCGAAATCGAATGTTATACTGACTGTTTCATATTCACCCTGAGGTGTTACTTCATTCATCGATGGTCTGCACTTGCTCAGTGCTGTTGGGAGACGCGTTGCTGTTGCTAACGCTGCAAACAATTGCGTAATTATACGGAGCACGATGCCATCCACTGTGCATACATGTAAATTCAGCGAGTAGACTCAATAGGGAATTCTATTACTCTTACTCTAGATAATTGCATGACAGCTGATCGAACTCAACGGTGCGCTGGAATAGATTTTTAAGTTATGAAGCCTGCCGCGACCCGGTGAAAAGCAAGTGTTTATACATGCAGCCGGTAATGCGGCGACACCCCAACAATATCCACACAGGAGTCGCGAAGACAGACAGACAGCCACGCACAGCGAGCACCACGCAAGCACGAGCGCGCCGCATGCACACACGCGCACGCGTACGCGCACAGACAATACGTAACAAATGCCGAACACACGCCACAGCACTGCCGCACGAGGGCATAGAGAGAACCGCACGACACTGCTGCGCTACGTCGCACGCGTGTCCGCATAATATGTTCGTCGCTCACATCGGCACCGCGTGAGCGTGCTAGAGAAAAGACGCAGTCAGACGACCAGCAACGGCGACGTACCCGTGGTAGCGATAAGACAGGGTGCTGGGCGGGACTTCGTGGATAGCACGCTCGGCTACACGGCGTGGTACAGGGACGCCACGCCGATGTCGCTTGTTCCGCCGGCAATCACGCCGTCGCGGCTCCCTCTTTGTGCTGCTCTTCGCCTTCGGCCATCGTGCAGGGCGTATTAACATATTGGAAAAGTACCATCTTCCTAATTCGAAGCTTGTCGACGTGGACGGATCTACGGCCAAGGAGCTGATGTTTTCCAGACAGCCGTGACAATCTGCAACCAAGAACGCGTAACGCCGCGTGATAAGCTTGAATGCGTACAACATCAACGTGGACACCGTGCAGGAGGCCAAGATTTGCGACCCTTTCGATTACAGCTACGAGAACGACGACGACAGCTGTGTGAGTGCATGCGCCTATATATACGTAATACACGCGCGCGCGCGAATGTAATTCTCAAATTGTAAGAGAGAGAGCGAGAGAGAGAGAGAGAGAGAGAGAGATTAATACTTATGAAAGTACGTTATACTTTCCTGAGTATAAGTATTATATCCCCTCGTGAAAGTATAAATTTAATGTAGAGAGGAGACTCTCCCCCCCCCTTTTTCCCGAAAATCCTCAGGTGGATGTGGGCGATGAAGGCGGTCAGAGAATGTTAGAAACAGTTGATAGTTAATCCTGTAAATTATTTATTTTATTAGTGGAACTCGTGCGCACGTACTGCACGCACCGATGGTGATTCTAGAGTCCCTCAGTTACAGCATGCAGCACGGCTAACAAATGAACGAGATTCAACGTAATCGACATGAGGTAGGATTCATTCTACAATTCTCCAAATCAGTCGAATTTTCTCTATAGGACGATGCAGAAGTGGGGGAGCAGCTTAGACGGCAGCTGCTGCTGAAGATGCTAAGCAGCCTTACCTGGCAAGAGATGATTAATTCCAGCACAGAGAAGGACACCATGATCATAAGCTGCTATTTCAACGGCATCAAGTGCAATATGGAGAAGTAAGTCAACACATGCAGGGGTACCTCGCGTACAACAGTAGTGGGTTGTGTTTGATAACTAAAAAAAATAAAGGCAACGCCAATACGATATAACTGCAATACGCCAACAACAACAACAACAACAACAACAACAACTACAGCAAATCAACAAACAACTATTAACTATAACTGTAATTCTATAACAAAACCTTAGTCTTACCAAAGTCTTAAAATAATTAGGACTGTCGCGAACCAGCTAGACATATTAAATAAAAGTTATATTAATAAAAGACTTCATTGTGTATTATTGTATCGTCGATATCTCTTTTATAGGGACTTTAAGCTGCATCTCTCCACCGATTACGGTAACTGTTTCACCTTTAACTACGCTTCTGATAACTTACGATACCTCGTGAAGCAGGGCGGAGCCACTAGAGGTAAGCAAATTCATATATTAGCCTACCTGGTTTAATAAATAATCTATAATCTGCGAGCAATATGGAGGATTATAACACTCGCAGATATTTCCGTCTATGCCGCCTCCTCTGCGCTACGCGACAATTCGTGTGCGCCTGATGTAACCTTGTCGCTATACCAACAATGCACGAGTAACATGCGAGAATGTCACACAAATCTACAATAAGCATGTTTATAGACGCCATTTATAATTTTTACGACAACATATGCCTTATTATTCTGCTTCACGGTTGAATGGAATATATTTTCATAACAGTGTTCCTCTGCATATAATGGTTGTGCCGTTGATATTTACCTTTCCTACCGCGGCAGGAAGCGGGATAGTGCGTTGCGCAACTAATTGGTCTGATCTGTAAAGGTTGTGTCTAATACGCATACACCACTTGTTTAATCCATTATTCAACAGTCAACACACACACACACATACATATACATACATACATACATACACACATGCGTGCGGAGAGAGAGAGAGAGAGAGAGAGAGAGAGAGAGAGAGAGAGAGATAAACCCACGCACAAATGTGACAAAATTAGGATATATTTCAATATGAACCAGTTAAACAAAACTAACAAAACTACTAAAACAAAACTAAAACTCGTTCATCGCTAACTATTTCTTTTCAAGATGGCGTCAACTATTCTCCCCCAACTCCCGGAAACTATCGCAGCGGATCTATGCTTTCGGGTCCCCTGTTAAAATGTCCACCTGGGTGACACCGATAGACGTCCTGGTGCCGACGGGTACGTCTATGCCGTTCTCGACGATGAACGGTGAGTGGCCGGGTTCGTGCACGCTGATTCTGGCTCCGGCAGCTTCCGTAAGGCCGGACATGTAGTTCAGCTGGTCGACGAATATCGTCAACGTCAGCCCTGCAACGGTATGACCATCAGTCACCCACCGCTGACATCCAAGGTAAAAAATACACGTTTATGCGCGCATTCTGTGAACCGCGTGCGTGCGTGCGTGTGTGTGTTTAGGGGTGCGTGCGCGCGTAGGCCCACCTTTATTTGCGGGGCTAACTTAGTCCGTACTAGCGCGTATTTAGCCCGGGATAGCGTGTACACACTGCAAAAATTTAGCATGCGTCTGGCCTGGACTAGTTTGATGCGGGATCAAATATGCAGTCTGTACGGGGTATATATACATTGTATATTACAGGATGATTATGAATCACATTCACTCTACAGTGTATAAACGTTAATCGAATAGTAACAGGAGTGTATATTATAGATCCATATGCACTCCTGATAGTATAAACTCGTAGCTCGCGGCGTCGCCATTTCATCTCGTTCGTCCGTTCGTTCGATCGTTCGTCATCGTCTGCACACTTCATGAGCTGTACGCGGAAATAGTTTACCGTCGGTCCGTCACGTGGAATCGAAAATACTCCGTGTACTGCTCCGAGGTCCGCTTCTAATTTTCTCTATTCTCTATTCTTTATAGATAGCTATGATTTTAATTCGCTGCCGCCCAACCACGTTACAACAGCTTACCACTACAATAGCTTACTTCCCGGCAGCTTACAACAACTTACAACAGCTTACAATAACTTACAACAGCTTACAACAGCTTACAACAGCTTACAACACCTTAACAACCACGGCTTGCCTTCCAGCTACCTCTAGATCCCTGGATCCCGAGTCCTCGCTGCAGGTTGGATGAGCTCAGATCCAATTTGTTTTGCGCTCTCATGTACAAAAATACTATTCCAAGGCCAGAGATAGCGAGCCCGACACCTGTAATGCGGGAAATAGTCGTAATCGAGTAACACTCAATAATGTCAAGAGCACATAAACATCAATGGCAATTAAGGCACGGGTGACGTGCGTGGGGCGGACACACCCATGCACGCATCCAAATCCCGACAATTTTTATAAATTTATATCAACTATCAGAGCTTTCAATTGTTGAATATTTGCGAACGCGTAATATGCGGGCTACGGAGACCACATATATATTATATATATATATATACGTATATATTATATATATATATATA